AAAAAGCCTGTTGGGCCCCTGTAACAGTGAATAGTTTGAGACTAATAACCACTGCATGCAAATAAATAGGTGAATCTTGGGGCGCCTGGGTAGCTCAGTTGGTTAAGTGTCTGCCTTTGGCTCAGGTCATGATCCCAGGGTCCTGGGATCGAGCCCTGAGTTGGGCTTCCTGCTTTCCGGGGAGCCTGCTTCTCCTTCTCCCCCACTTTTGCTAACTCTGTCTCTCCCAAATAAATAAAATCTTGTAAATAGATAAATAAATAAATAAATCGGTGACTCTTCAATGCCTGTTTCTGAGATAGTTTAAGTATTTCCAACGAACATCTTTACGTTAACTTTTGGTAAACACGGTGATATGAACATTGAGTGACTAATGCATGCTATGTGCCGGGTCCTTATACATACTGCACTGTCAGAGGGACTTCTAAGCGGTTGAGAAGAAATGAGGTTTTAATATCACTATGCCTGCATTTTTTATCTCTTAGAAGTATATAAAATTCCATTGCTTTGGAAGAGCTTACTTTTAAAAAGGGGACATTTAAAATCAATTATGCAAATCTTTCTTATCCCACAGGCTCGTATAATTAGTAATCGGTGTGAACCAGAAACAACTAAATAGCATAAAGATACCTCTGATTTTGAAATTCTAATCCCAGCTTTTACCATCTTTAGTGATAAAGTGAAAAAGTTCACGCAAAGGAGGCCTTTTGCATGTCATTAAGCAACTGAATGAGAGGGTTGTTGAAAGTGGAAATTTAAAGAGAGTCACTAATGGGATGATGAACATTTAAAAATATTTCTGAGTTTACAGATTAAAACAGAAAATGATTTTATTGGGGGCAAGCAAATATTTTAGGAAACGGTTATTTCAATTTTCTTCAGTCGTTAATTTCATATATATATTCTTCACTTGACTTTCATGGGAAATATACAAGTGGATAAAGGCATGATAAACCATCAGTTTATCAAGTTCAGGGCCAATTAAGATCAGTGTGAGATCACTCACATTCACATATGTTAGCTACTGCAATGATGAGCGGAGTTACTGAGATAGGATTACATTGTTGCTATGACAGAAGATGTACAAAGTATTTTAGAAAGAGAGGTAATGGAATTAAGTCTCACAAGTTCATCTTCATTTATAACCTTAATTTCATTCCTTCACCATGTTTTTAAAATTGTATTTTTTAAAGATTTTTATTTTGAGAGAGAGAGAAAACACGAGTGGGAAGGGCAGAGGGAGAGAGAGAATCTCAAGCACATTCTGCGCCGAGTCTGGAGCCCGACATGAGGCTCGATCCCAAGGACCCCGAGATCACAACCCAAGCTGAAACCAAGAGTCGGGTGCTCAACCAACTGTGCCACCCAGGTGCCCCTAAAATTTTGCTTTTTACAGTAAAAAGCTTACAGCTGACATTTAAAACAGGGTCAAGGAGAATTCTAAAATTAGGGGTGTTTTAAAAGCCACCCTCATACTTGAGAGAGCTGGGAGCACTCTGTGGTCAGCCTTCCATTCTGGAATTCTATATCCAGGCCTAGACGGTTCACTAAACTGCATGCCCATAATCACTTTCAGAAGTGATTCATTTGTGCTCGTTCGTTCAGCTATGAGGCATTTTGCTGAGCTCCTACTTTGGGCCAGGCACTTAAGGGGCAGATCTGTGACTAAGAAAACACAGTCCCGGCTCCAAGAGGCAAGCGGAGCATTGGGGAGCACCAGCCTTCCAGTGAGACCTGAACAGAAGTACAGCTCCCCCAGAGGAAGGTAGAGGAGGCTGACCTCTAAAGGCAGCCAGAAGAAAGGGGACCTTCTAGTTTTGTTCCGGTTTTTGGGCAGGGATGGGGGGGGCGCAGTACTGCATCCACAGGGCCAAGGAGAGTAATCAGAAAGCAGCTGTGTATGGTCCAGCCACTCGACACACTGGGGGTTTATCACTGTGGGTGGGGAATCTGGCAAGAGACAGGGTGGAGAAGGAGCCTGAAGAACAGCCGCCGGAGGGCAATGAGCTGTCATGGAGATTTTTCAGGGGGTTGAAGTTTGGAGCACAGGCCTAATGAACTGGGGAAGACAGGGGTCACTAAGACAGTCTTAATTCTTTGCTTTAGCACATAGTTATCAGGGTCTCATTTCCTCAGATAGAGTGAGCCTTTCAACAAAGATATTTCTTGGGGCGCCTGGGTGGCTCAGCTGGTTAAGCGTCTGCCTTGGGCTCAGGTCATGACCCCAGGGTCCTGGGATCGAGCCCCACGTCGGGCTCCCTGCACAGTGGGGAGCCTGCTTCTCCCTCTCCCTCCGCTCTTCCCTGCCCTGCTCATGCTCTCTCTCCTAAATAAAACATCTTTAGTGGTTCCTTCAGTAGCTCAGTCGGTAGAGCGGAGGACTGTAGTGGAGAATAAAACATCTTTAAAAAAATACACTTTTTAATATCAATTTCCCCTCAAAGAGTGCAGCAGTGTTCTGCAAATACTGAATTATGAAAATAATTATTTTTTAATTAGAATAATACTTTAAAATACTTCTGGAAGGCTTGAGAGCTTCTGGTCAAACCAAGTAAAGTTAAGGAGAAAGCACCTCAAATTCTCAAAACAGTTTAGATGGGATGAAAAGGTTACTGTGGAAGCTAACTCTTCATATCTTACTTTTCTCTTGTTTTCTAGAAGCCAGGCCCGTTGGAGAGGAGGCACTCCCTGGGCCCCACCTCAGCTATGCTGATGTCCTTCCTGGTTCACCCTCTTTGGCGGCCTCATGGATGGGGATAGTCATGCCACGGACCACTCCCTAAACTACACATGAACCTGAACTTGGATTAAGAGCTGCATTTTTCCCATGTCACTCTGGACGACTGATGAGCCAGCACGGTAGAAATGATCTCTTTTGTTTTGGTTTAGTTCTTTGGGACACTGCCACCAAGGTGGTATGTTTACAAAAACATACGAAGTCTTTTCTCAGGAATTTCCTCATTAGAGTTTCACAACCCTGGGAGGTAGAGAGCGCAAGGATTTCCACTTAACAGACTTCAGTCTACATGATTATAATGAAGGCGAGTATTTTTTCCATGTACGTATGGCCATGAGTATTTCTTTGTGAGCTGCTAGTGGTCTCTTTTCTACAGAGGTCATAGGACACTCTGGTCCCCACAGAGTGCTGTGTGTCCTGTGATGATTTGTAAAGGAAGATAATGGTGCCTTAGGGTATGGCTACCAAGATTCTCGGTTCAAGATTCCCGATCCCTACATGTAACCAAGCTGAAGTTGGGGGGTGGGGTGTCCAGTTGTTTTGTTTCGTTTTGTTTTTTTTAAACTACAAATAGCTGGTCAAATGGCTTAAAACAGTTTCACAATAGCAATGGTTATAAATCAAAGGGGAATAGTAAAGAACAGAATAAAAATAATTAACCATTTCCATTTTATATTTCTATGGGAAAGAAGAGCGCATCATCACCTGGATGTTTGGATGTTTACACTGTCCTGTAACTAATGAGCTGGGTCTAAAGCTGACCAAGCACAGCTGATAGTCACAGGAACCCACTCGGGGGCTTAGGAAGGATTGGATTCATTGGTGTAGACTCGGCAAGCTTTCTCTCTAAATCAAACAAAACCTGGACGACCACTTCTTGGCTACCTTCTCCATCCAGGGTCATGAGCAGAATCTCTCTGGAATGTCTAAAGATAAGAGGCTTCCTGACAATACCATCCATCACACTGCTAATATCACTTGTTTAAAAACCATCATTAGCAAATTTCTTTCAGAGTCTGGGTTAAAGAGAAAATGATTTCAATATACTTGCTTTTATTACATATTAAAATTATATAACTGATTGATAATTACCCTCCTTGTCTTGGCTGCTAGGGAGCTCAAATTTTCAAAGATAATTTCTTCCCTTTCCTTCCTTTAATATTTTGTTTTGCCTTTTATTGTATGCTAATAGTTTTAGGTCTTGCTGCATACCATGATTTAAAAGCAAGCTGCTTCAAATCCTTTTTTTAATGTAGCTGAGGTTTAACTAGTGTTTATTTTCTACCATCAAATACAAAACTGCTGCGTGAACAAAACAGTAATCAATTCACTGCATCCCTGAGGCTGGTGAGGGATGAGAATAAACAGTAATGACTAATTCTGAGTTTGCAACCCTCCCATGGGTGTCTAGTGAGATCAAGGGGGTGATTAATAAATTTCCTCAAAAGGAAGAAATAGTTGTGTTCCCAAATCAAATAATTAAAGGGACTAAAAATCCAAAAACTTCAGAGAAAATTGCACAGCCTCTCCACCTGCCGTTTTCCATTCTGTGTTAGGAGAGAAGTGATACCATTACCATCCTTAAGATAAATCTGGGAAAAATAACCTGTATTTTTTAATGAGCCTGTATACAAAGGCACACAAAATGATTTAGTCCATACTTAAGACAGGCGAACATGAAACAAAACCAAGAGCTGCTTCTTTAGCACACGTGAATTCTGACGGGCTCCCGAGCTCTTTAAACTAAATGAAAAGGAACACTGTCGGGACCACACGCTTTTTCTGATGCAGGACTGATTTCCCTCTTTGCCCCAAGGAGCCACCACACCCCACCCTCTGAGTGCAGAGGCATTCCTGTCCAAGGGACGGTACTCACATCAAGCTTGGTCGGTGCCACTGAGTGGTCCGGTTGTTGTGGTTCACATAATAGGTACGACCGAGATTGTCCACCTTCTCTTCCCAGCCAGGGGGCAGTGGCGGGGCAGGGAGCTCCTCCTGGTGTTGAGAGGCCGACTCATTCGAGTCCACGACCTCCCAGCCATGCTGTGGAAGAAAAGCAAATGAAGATCGTTGAGGTGGGCCCTTTGGACGTGAGGAAAAACAATCATGGTGTACTCTGGGTCCTTCTTCCTTGCTCCTTGGCATTGTGGCTCTTTCAGTGGCTTCATGCGTCACATGTGAAGAAATTCCCAAAAAGGGCAAAAAAAAAAAAAAAATTAATTCTAGAAGAGTCTTAAAAAAAAAAAAATTCTGAGCAATGACCAATTAATTGTGCTGCCTTTGAACGTGACCACACTGTACAGACAACACCGCTTCGGATATGTACAGTGTGTTGTGTCAAGTCATGTTACGCTCTTTCCGCACACAGATTTTGTTATTTTGACCTGAAGGCCTCCAGGGCGGTGCAAAGCCACACCAGGGACATGGGTCATGTTACCACTGTGGTCTTTTCGACACCTCCACGAGGTGAGAGGGAGCCGGGGGCGATGGGCCACACCACATGTGTGTTCTTACAGAGATCCCTGCCTGAGGGGCCGAGAGGCCCAGGCTCCATCACTCCCCAGGGAGGATGACACTTGGGGCGGGGGAAACCTGGAAGTCCATCAGTCTCCCACTCTGCATCAAGTCCAGTCAGGAGAGCAGAAGTCCCGAAGCTGCTTTCTGCTTAGGCCCTCCCTGCTTGCTGCCACCCCATCAACAGGCTTCACGGTACCAGAGTTACGAATTTTTGCAACACATATTTTAGGCATTAAGTATTCCCTCCTAACATCCCCTAGTAAAGTCACTGGAAAATCAAAGTAATTCACTGGTTAGTGCAGCTGGAAAGCTACAAGAATGTAAAAAAATTCCTTGGATTTGAGATAAAAATCTGCCGATGCGCTTATGAAATCTTAACATTCGTACATGCCTACCCCCTGCTTCGCTCCTCCCCGTAGGGAGAAAGTGCACAAGTGAAACGCTGCCTGGAAATGCGACCACTTGGCATGGGGAGGGCTGCGAAGACGTGCCCCTAACACATAATTCACATAGCACGTACATGCCACAGCTGCAAACAGATGTGCAAATAAGCCCCAGACGGGCCCCGTATAATGCACATTTCCAGAACAATAGCAGAATTTGTCTAACGCAACAGCACTGTCTGAAGCATGAGCAGGGAAGGTACAGTGGGAACCACGATGTAGGTATGGGACTGAGTTGTAAGAGGCAGCTGTGCCAGGAGGGAAGGAAAAATCCCTCTGGACAGCTGGTTCCAAAATGGCTTTTCTAGAGGAGAGCTTTCCTAATGTATCACCTGTGGGCCAAACACATAAGAACCTTGGAAAAGCTTTTCTAAATCATTTCCTCCACTTTGAAGCAATTCCAAACGCTGCGAGGAAATTTACAATGAGCTGAAAAGTCCAAAGAAATAAGAGGAGAAGGGGCGCCTGGGTGGCTCAGTCAGTTAGGCCTCTGCCTTCGGCTCAGGTCATGGTCCCAGGGTCCTGGGATCGAGCCCCGCATCGGGCTCCCTGCTCGGCGGGAAGCCTGCTTCTTACCTCTCCCACTCCCCCTGCTTGTGTTCCTGCTCTTGCTATCTCTCTGTCAAATAAATAAAATCTTCAAAAAAAAAAAAAAAGAGGATGAAATATGGTGAGAATTTCACATAGGAGTGGGGCTGTTCATGAAATGCGGGTACAGCATTTTATAAAGAGAAGCCTCTTCAATTATCAGTGCTGTAACATAAAATGAAAAGTTTATCTTTTTTTTTTTTTTTTTAACCAAAGCCAAACACATCGGTAAGATTCAAAGACCCAGGTAAGTTTTTTCATAGATAATTTATTTCCTTCAATTATAAAGTCTTAAATGAAATATTAGTATGATCTTGGGCAAGGAAACCAGATCAAGGCCTGCAGCTCTGCAACTTACCTCCATGTCTTCCCTCTGCTCACTGTTTTCTTCATCTTGACCTCCGTTTTTTGGCATATAGGCCATTTTCAATCGCAAAAATCCCTTAACTCGAGATTTATGACTGTGTGATGGAAGAAAATTGGTTATAAAGGATATAACTTGGTTACATCGTTCATATTTATGACGAGTTTTAAAAAAAAAGATGCAAAAGGCAAAGAACCTGAAATCTTCCTCAGAGAAAACCAAACCGAAGCATGAAGAACACCGGTACCCCAAAGCCTCACCTTCTTGGTCTAAGGAGAAAATCCTTAAATGTATAGGGTCGCTCCATGGTCGGATCTTCTGTCTATAGGAAGAAAAAGCAAGTTTCAAACTCCTGATACTGTTGTATTTTAGATACACCAAACTGGGTTGCAGAGAACATACACTGGTGTTTTAGAACGTGGCAAGGTAAAAACGGGGTTGGTTCCTCAACCAGTATTTGACAATTATTTTATAGGTCAACAAAACTTTACCCAAGATCCACTAGATGTCACTATCAACACCCATTTTTAGGAGCCAACCCCAGCCTTAGACAAATGACAAAATTACAGTCGTCATTGCCGAGTGTAATTTCTAACTACAGGGCGCAGGCCTCAATCTCACTGCTGATTAATTTTGGAGAACCAGTGGTCACTGGTGCCTCCTTGTCCCTGTGATCCAAGAAACCTAAAAATGGAGTTAACAGGAAAATATGCCCGTGAAGACAGTTTTGCTTTATTTTTAACATTAAAGTATCATATCATCAGCCTAAGATAACTGAAAGGCTATCCCCTCCTACAGAGACCACTCTAGGTAGCACCATTAATCAGCCTCTTGCTGGTGCTTATTTCATGAAGCTGTGAAATGTAACTGTGATTTTTCTTTTTAAAGAAATCAGTACTCACCGTGCAAAATTCATTGGTCAAAGCAAGAAAGAAGTTGGAAAATTACTCATTAATTTTTTAAATACTATGTATGTAGCAAAACCTCAAATGACTAGGTTCTTTAATTAAAATAACGTAAAGTACTTTTGTAGCAAGAGAGACAAACCACGGTATTATGATTTGTTGACTTATTATATCGGAGGAGTGTGTGTATGCATTTATATTTGAAATGTTACATATTTTATGTCATTCCCTACATAAACTCCAATGGCTTCCTACTCTGCTTATAATAAACTGAAAATTCTTTCCTGTATGTCCTATAAGGTTAAACATATACCTATAATGTCACTGTGAAGCAGTCTTTCCTTTCACCCCTTGCTCCAACCGCCCTGGCCTCATCTCTCCTGGTGCACATCACATCCAATCCTGCCCCAGCAGGTCCTTCTTCCGGACAGCTCCGGCTCCAAATGGCCTCAGCTGGCTCCGCTTTACAACCCGGGTGTGAGATCCCAGGTCATATCCTCAGACACTGCATTTGCTTCCCCTTTCCACCCTCTAATCAGAGCATCCTGATTTATCTTCTTCCCTTTCACTATGAAATTATCTTGTTCATTTATTTATTTACAAATTTGTCATCTATCACTTTTAGAATTAAGCTAATGAGATTGGAGACTTGGATTTCCTCACCTTGGTGAGCAAAATCCTTGGTGCCCAAAACACTGCCTAGCACAAAGTAGGCACTCGTACAAGTAGCTGATTGATTCATCTGATCTACAGTAAAGTACTGAGGCCATGAAAATTCACTACTGCTGAAGGAAGTCAATTATATTCTCTGGGCAGTCCTCTTTAAGGCAATCAGGTTAGACATTTTGGAAACATTTTCTGAGAAAAGGTTTCCAAACATGTAACACTTATTATGGAAAAATTTATTAATCAAGAATACTACTGGGGCGCCTGGGTGGCTCAGTTGGTTGGGCGACTGCCTTCGGCTCGGGTCGTGGTCCTGGGGTCCCTGGATCGAGTCCCGCATCGGGCTCCCTGCTCGGCGGGGAGTCTGCTTCTCCCTCTGACCCTCCCCCCATCTCATGTGCGTTCTCTCTCTCTCATTCTCTCTCTCTCAAATAAATAAATAAGATCTTTAAAAAAAAATACTACTGCCTTTCTTCCTTTTCTCATTTATTCAACCACTAAAGTTTTAGAACAGCTACCACGTGAAAGACGTGTGGCTACAACATGGTGCCTTCCCTTAGAGTAACAAGGATGTGTAACAAGGACCATGGTAGCAACAAAACTTGAACCTAAGATGGAATAAAGATGACATTCTGTGGGACCTGCGCGGGGAGGGCAGAGACGATTCTCAACTTGGGGATCAAAATGGTTTGGGGATGTGCGGTCCACACTGAGATGAACGGGCAAGTTTGGACACAGGTGGACAGCTGGGAGGAAGGACAGTTCAAGCTGCAGAACGGCATGAACAAAACTACAGGATCCTTGGCAGGCATGAGGGGTCTGGGATCAGCAGAGAGCGCAAGAGACAGCGAGCAGAGGAAAGCACAGACCTCGGAGGGACTCCTCTGCAAGTGAACCTGTCCACCCGACTACAAAGTTTACATGACCAACACCACGCGAAGCAAGAGGCAGGCCTTCCAGGCCTGTGCCCTGGATTCGCTACCGGCAGAGCCATGTGGCCAAGGGCAAGCCCCTCACCTCTCTGTGCCCTGGTGTCCTCATCCAACAAGTGGGGCTGTAACAGGATCTCACAGAGTTGTTGGGAGGGGTAAGCCAATCACCTGAGCGGGCATGGATGAAGTCCTTGCAAGGGTCCCTGGCACACCTCACACACGCTGGCCTTTATCACCTTCAGCTAATTCTCATTCTCATGTCACCTGTGAGTACGGTCACCTCCATGTTCTCCAATAAAAGGCAGGGCATTCACCTCCATGGACATTCTTGCATGTGAACAAGATGTTGATCTCGTAGAGAGTGGCAGGACTCTCCTTGGCATTATTCAGGGTCCTACTTGACCCTGTTTGCTGGGAAAAAGCCCAGGAGAGACCCCCAGGACAGCACTGGTAGAAAGCCACTGCGCAGACTGATGCTGACCACGTTACTGGCCAAAGTGGACATTGCTGCCTCCTGTTCTGGGGCGCTGAACGTTCCCAAGAAAAACTTTTGGATACACAGCACTTTCAACTTAAAAAGGGGGAGCTGCTTTCAGCAGAACTATAATCACTGTCACATATAGTGAGATGAACAGCTCTGTGGGCAAATGGACGCAGACAGACCTACAGGGACCCTAGACTCCAAACCTGGATGCAACCACCAAAAGTACCCAAGCCTTAGACTAGGCCCCCTTCCACCCCCGAACCAGACCCTTGACTACAACACAGATCAATGCTGGAGACGCAGGGTCTGGCCCAGCACTGCCGCCAATCTACTGATCACTGGACAAGCCACCTCCCTGTCTGTGCCCAGGTATCCTCATCGGTAAAATGCAGGGAGTAGACAAATGGTGTCTGAAGTCCCTCTAAGCTCTAGGACACTGAATTCTATACATAGGAGAGGAAACCGTTACCCTGCTATCAGCCATACATAGAAAAGGGGTGCTCATCAACTGAGTCACCTTCAAGTACAACTAAGGTGCCCAGAACAATCCCACCACCCTGAAAATGCTTCACTCTAGGGAAACTGAAATTCAGAAGCTACCCTGACCACCTTGAGTAGCACTTGACGAAAACAGGAGAAACCAATGTTCTTAAAATAGCGCTCTCCACCGCAGTGTGTTTCCCGTGGATACAGAGATTTTGGAGCTGAATAGGGTGGGCGGGCTGGGGGCTCAAAGAGCAGGGGAAACACAATGGAAGGAGGCGTCAAGGAGAACCACAGAAGTGCCACAGGCAAACGCCTGCCAGAAAATGTCCCTCTGTTGTTAGTCCAAGTCTCGGCGTTGGTTTGCCTCTAAATAATTAGTAAAGACAAGTCATAAACCTTGAACATAAAAGTCATAAACTTTTTTAACCACCACCACACCGCATTTCACAAACACATGTAAAAATGGTAGTTTACGAGAAATCAGCAATCGCAGCTGAGTTAAGCTGCGTTTACGGCTGGTGCCCCACGGCAATGGAACAACAACAACGAAAGAGCAGCTCTGTCTCGGCTGTGGTACAGGTGTCAGGCTGGTAGCGGGAAGGACTATCTTCCTAAATTAAGAGTCCCGCCTGCTCCGCACGCCTCCCGCGAGCCCTGCTGCCCAAGTCTCCCAGGTGACACGCGTGTCCTCTTGGTCATCTGTGCCTCTGCTCAGTGAGCCGTCGAGCCGCGGTGTGGACAGAGTGGGGTGGACACGGTGGGGGGGGTCATCTCTGCACACGCCCTCCTTTTACGGGTGACACAGAGAGGCCCAGAAAGGATGACTAGCTTATTAATTACCAAGGTGACTCGCTCATCTCCCAGGTCCGAGTCAACAATTCTGGAGAGATCTCCTAAAGCCTGACCTCTGGATCTCCTAAAGCCTGACCTCTGGAGACTTCCGTGAATATGTACTGATGTTTTCTTCATTCTCGGATCTACATAAAAGGTTGGACCACCAACCTTATTTATTCTCCCCTGTTCCCCCTCTCCCCTTTTTCTCGCTCCTGCCCTCAAAAATAAATAAACCGGACAAGAAGTATGAAAGATGAGTGGCTCATCTAGAACGGGAGCAGAGGAAAGAGAGGTCCCTCCTGTTCTGAACTCCCATGTCCTGTTTCCTTTCCATGTTTTCTTCCAGAATAAAACTGGGAGAACGGATTCTGAGGGCTGAGGAAAGATGAAAGTCAATCACAAGGCTAAAATTACTTGCTTCCCTCTGGAAGCATTTGAGGAGTATAAAGCATGGAGGGATCCATCATCAGAACGGGAACAAGAAGATTATTTCCTTTCACATGACCCATCCTTACTCTCTCCTGTTTAGGGGACAATGACGGAGCTGACACTGGCCTCCTCTGGCCACTGAGGTGGTGACTCTGACCCGTGGGGTACACCTTGCTGCTCTACCTCTCCCGAGTGCCTCCTTCACTTGTCACCCTGGCAGAACGTCAACTCAGCCCCTTGCAACGACCCACAGGGCGCAGAAGGGCCCGTAAGTACTCCAGGGACTCAACGTTGGGCAGGGGGCCAGGGAGGACCCTTGTGCACCAGGTCCAAGATGCCAAGATGCATGTGACTTTGCATCGTGCACCAGTGGAAGGGTCGCTCTGACCCTCCAGTCTTCCTGGGGGGCAATTTATAGCTGCCAAGTAACAGCTTAGGCAAGCCACTCCTAAGATCTTAAAAGCAAGGTTTTACGTGGCAAACACCAATATCCCCTGGCAATGGAGCCAATATGCCTCCAGAATTTCAGCAAGGGAAGAAGGTTCTTTGCAAGCAGCAATTACTAGGTCTAAAATACTTAGTTTTCAAACATACACAAAACACAAAATAGGATTTAAATTATGAAAAATAATTTCTTAACAATCACGAGATTACACTGAGTTTAGTTCTGCTGTCTTGGATCTTCTCCATAAAGCTCCCGATTTAGAAAAGGGCTTCATGCAGATTAAGGCAACTTCTTAGACCAGAACCAAGACAGGATTTTTCTTTTTTTAAAGGAATAAAAGTTTGTGGTATCTTGTGGCAATAAGATAAAGCCTCATTCTTGGTTTAAAATGCCTTAAAAATAAGTAAGTGGATATGTATCTATCTGGCTATAGACTGCAACATGGAGGCAAACGCAATTAGGTATTTTGCTAATACAGATTTCAAAAAATAAAAAAAAAATACTTCTTTTTAATTTCTATGATTTCAAACATCTGGGCTTTTTATTACTACCTAAATTAAATGTTCTTGGTATATCAGACCTGTAGAACTAAACAGAAACAGCCTCAGGCAAGGGGGGAAAAAAACAAATGAAAAAATCACTAAGTAAAGCTGATGGGGGTTTGGGAATCCCTCTAATAGCTAGAATTATTATCTGAGGAAAAGGGAATCCAGAATCACACATTTTTTTACCTAAGCCAACTTGGTCTCACCCTCACATGTACCATCCAATATGGTGCCATCTGCCACATGAGGCTTTTTCAAAAATTTTAATTTTCATTAATTAACATGAAATAAAATGATAAATTCGGGTCCTCAGTCATATGGGCCCCATTTCAAATGCTCAGCTACCCCATGTGGCTACAGTAATGAGCGACGATGCCAGGCTGCATGAGGGAGGAAGCTGCTTGCCTGGATTCCTCCTCGGAGACCAGAATCATGTCCATTGGCCATGCTCTATCAGATAATGAGGCTGCATAAAAATTAATCACCCCCGCCGTCAGATACTCAAGCCTGAAAAGGCTCACCTAGGTCGGCAATGGCAAATTTACCACATTACTGCTCTCCCTACCTTCTCTCATTGCTAAGGAGACAATTTCCCTAATTTCTTTTATCTAAAATTTGATGATGTTGACAAATATTGACTCTCTAGGCCACATAAAACCTTCCTCGACAATGGTCACGTAGCTCTCAAGAACAGAGCGACTATTATTGACTCCGCAAAATACATTCAAACGCTGACATCCATTTCTCACACCCACACTTGGGTTCTTCAAAATATAAGGACACTGTGTAATTTTCCCATGAGCACCCTTCATGTACGATCAACCGTACACATGACAGCACCTCAAATCCTGAGCCCAAAAGCTGCATCCATTCAGAATATGCTAGTTGGGTCTTACCACCACTTGAAAGGTGATGAATGCACCCTCGTTCCTTTCCTTCTGCTTCCTCTGTGGTCCATTTCCCGGACTGCAGTTGGCCCCACAAAGCTAGTCCATCGTTAAGTATGGAGATCACTGCACTCCAGTGTAAGCTCGGGGCTGTGCAGATGCAAAACAGGGCGGCTCCCTCAAGCACCCAGCTCAGGTCACAGAGAGGTTCTCAGTTCCCTCCAGGCATTCACTGGCTCCTTTCTTTTGTTGGCTGGTTTTGATTCCAGGCTCCAGTCCTGGCACCACTTCTTCCTTTGAAAGCTCACTCTTGCCTCCACCCGAAGCTAAACTATTCCCTCTGCTGATTTGGTCTCTGAAGAGGAACGCTGTTCTGTTCTCTGGGAGTCCCACCCAACCTTTCAAAACCAATTTGCCCTCAATCACTCAAACCAGGGACTGTCGGAGCAGGTTGCTTAAGAGATTCCACTTACACCTCTCAGAGACTATTAGTACATAATTTGCCTTGACCAAGAGTCAGTTTTTATGTTAGGGAAGAGGGTGGTGAAGGATATCCACAAAAGAACTGGCCAACCCACACCGCCTCAAAATGCAAGATTACAGCTTCAACCTGAAGAGCAGACACAGAAGACCCAACTGATGTAGAAAGACGTGGACAGTCTCCTCGTCAACACTGAGACTTCCATGTCCTCTCAACACGGCTCTAAAAGGATAACTGGGTTTCTGATGGCTTATGGAGTCGGTCTCATGTACACACAGGCACCCTCTGCAAGTACCTTGAAGCTCTAGGTTTTTATACAGAAACAAAAATATTTTAACGGTGTCAGTTGCGCTTCCCATTTTTTGGAAGGGAATGTGCTTGAAACTTTTCTTCCTTAATAGCTCCCCTGAGTAAATAAGAATAAGTTGCTTGCCATCTCATGCCCTCACAACACATCTTCAGAGCTTCCTGGGTAAGACACAGTCTTTTCTTGGTATTTATTTAACAAACGTAAGAGCCATGACTTCAACACAGTGGCAGACTCCCCCTAGGTGGTCTAAGTCATTTTAGTTTATAGACTGTTTATGCTATTTGCTCACACAAAGCATTAAAAATATTAACAAAAGGCCCTTGAAAGGCAGAAACATTGGACTTCTCCTCTCTTTGGTGCTACCTGAGTCACTCTGTGATGCCCAGAGGGAGAAGGGCCAGGAGAGGGGATGCGACAATCTGAAAAACCGAAGCTGAACCACAAGCTGATCCGCCTTTCACCAAGTCCCGCTCTACCTACGGTGCCTCTGGAGCGGGCAGAAGACACTTTTAGCCGCGGTTGTTGGTCAAAAGTCCCAATGGCTCTGCTACTGATCTGAGCAGAGAGGAATGGTAGCAACACCACATGTACCAAACTCAGTATAATTTCTAAAGCTGCAGTGGGTGTTTCCAGTTGACAAGTTCACTCAGAACAGACAGCATCTTTTGTCTCCATGCTGCCTGAGAAAAGCCATACACCCAAATCTGGGAAGCACTAGCTTATATGGATGCAGCCCAAGAGAAACACCCGTGTCATTCTAGACTAAGGGAACAAATGTCTGATCCGACCCAAAGGATGAATTTTTGAAAGTAAAGACATTCCAGTGACAAGAAGGTGGTTTTGGCAGAGAAATGAGCTGTTTTACATGATGTGACAAAAGGAAGACCAGAAGAGAAAGAGGCTCATGATGCACACAAGCATATGTGGATGATTCAGATACACCTGAGTTTTACAATTAAGCCCTCTCCCGTCCCCCTGAAGGGACCACTTTCTAGAAAGGGCCAGGGCCAGAGCACATGCTCTTCATTTCAGCCTGCTCCACTGCCTTGAGGAAATAAGCACTGAAATACACCCAACTGGAAACAATTAGAAAGCACTGCTCACAGCATGCCCCATAAAACAGGTAACAGTCCTTACCGGGAGATGACTGAGGGGTATGTCCACCTGTCCCAGGAAGTCGTCCCGTGTCTGTTGAGAAGAGAGCAGAGAGGTTAATGCCCCTATCACTGCACTGAGTGTCAGCATTCTTAAAAATGTTTAGTATGTTTCTTTAATACAGTGTTTCTGTGATAAGTCAGGGATGATAGAGCATGAAGTCCAGGGTACTCTAATAGTGATGTGTGGTGACAGGTGACAGTTACACTTGTGAGCACAGCAAGATGTACAGACTTGTGCAATCACTATGTCGCACACCTGAAACCAAGGTAACATTGTATGTCAACTGTACTTCAATTAAAAAAAAAAAGTTTCTTAACAAATAGAGACCATGGTCAGGTCCTGGCACTGGAGTGCAGCGGGCATGGGTAGAAGGCAGAGGCCCCGATGCCTGGCAGACAGCCAGTGCCTGGGAGACCCGTGAGCCTGAGGCTTGTACACCAGATCTTTAGCTGCCTGAACCCCTGCAAGGCATCTGCTACCCACTCGAAAGGAAACAGATCAACTCTTCGAATTGGGGAGCATGCGATCAGTAAGGAAAGGGACACTCAGGATCACAGAGGGTTTGGGGTCACAGGTGGTCCAATTTACAGAGAAGACAGTAATGAAATGTTGGGAACACTCTAATATTTATTAAGTGCTGTAAAGAGCTTCCTGAAAGCTGAGAGTCCAAGGAAAGTGTAATAATCTAGTGATTAATAAATCTTAGAAATTACTTCTCCAAAAAAAAAAAAAAAAAAAAAAAAGGGCCTCAAGCTTTCAATCGTGTAAGTACAATACTTTGGAATCCAAGTTCATGGATTAGTTTGCTGGTTAATTTCTGGACACATCATACTTCTTCCTGTACTCTGTCCCCTACCACACAGCATACATCTTTCTGACTTGAGAGACCTAGATAAGATACATCTGGAGGAGCTCACAAGCCCCCTTTCGGACTCTGGGAGCCACCTGGGAAGTCATAACTCAGGTTCTGCGGTCACCAGCCTGGACCACAGGGCGTCCGACAGGTTTGCTGCCTCTTATGTCCTGCTGCAGGGCTGCTTGTGTCACAGCTTCTGACATTAAGGTGACCCCAGGGTGTAAGTCTGTTACCCTTATATAAAAACATGTAGTTGCTTCTACCACACTCAAATGCCTAAAAGCTCGGAAGTTCTTTAGGGGTAATCCGACCTGTCCCATAGCTAGCTTGAGGAACAGCCCAAGAGAGAACCCAGACCTCCTAACCCCAAATCCTGTGCTCTTATTTTCACTCTTCCCTGGTTTAACGAGGCACTCTAATTTACACACACTACTTTTTAAATGTACTTGAAAAACCTCTCTTCTTGCATTTAAAAAGCAGCACCTGGTAAATACGAATGAGATTCACTGAAATGATTTGCTGCAAGCTCAGCATTGCCTTATAGGTAGTTAAAAAAGATCTGATTAACTTAGAAAGCTACCTGGCTCCTCTTAAGTGATGCACGAAGCATAGTGAAAAATCAGTTAGCACCGGTCGGGTACACTCGAAGCATGAGACTAGCCTCAATCCTCTTGACGGGCATCTCCTTTCTTCTATTTTCGTGGCTACATCTGCTTCAACTCACCATGGAGATACCCTCCTCCAGCACAAAGCTACAGGTGCCAAATAATGCTGTGGATCTGAACAAAAGCAGGAAGGCAGACATCCTTGCCAGCCAAAAGAGATGGGGGATTTCCTGCTCTCCATTTGACTGATTTAATGATAAAGCTAGTGGGACTGGTAGTTAACTCTACTATCAAGAACCAGAAGTGTGTTGACTACTGTTGGACGTCTACCTAATGTAAGTGGTGGTATCGCCACTTGTCCCCGGCCCCTCCTGCTAGCAAAGAAGGAAAGGACACACAAGCAAAAATCAGATGGGCTTACCTGAAGGAGTTCCATGCCCTCCCACCTCTGAAATGCTACTCCTCAATTGTCAACCTAAGTGCATCTTAATAAAAATTCACAAAACACCTACATGCCCAAGTTGTTTTGCTGGGGAGAGGTTGTGAGAGTTCTAGACCGGTCCAGGGCCTGCAGCTTGGCCCAGGCACCTGCCACTAAGGGCTAAAGGAGTGAACCCTATCAGGCCACACCTGATGCTCACAGCAACTGTAGGAGGTGGGCACTATTATGAAGCCCATTTCACAGATGGGGAACCTAGAGGCCAGAGAGGTGTGTGACCTCTTGAAGGTTCCTATTTGGGCGGGCTGGTTCCAGAGTCCGGGCTGTAAACGAGTACTCCGCCCTACAGCTCAGTAACTGGCAGGAAAGCATGGCTTGTGCACCAGCTCTGGGCTTCTCCCTGGGACACCGGCTCCATACAGTGTGGATGGGAAGAGATTCTGATGTTAGCAGTGTGACGAGACTTGGTGGGGCCCTATGAAAATGCCCTTGTGGGGTATCTCCTGTTGCCATTTTCCTCAAACGGAGCAGGTAACTGAATCCCTGGGGTGCTTGGTCAGCAGCTTCACTTGGACATTAGTAGGTTTTCTCACTCAAATGAACACACCGTTTCTAAAACAGTCAAAGATGAAGCAACCTCACCCATAAAGCAAACAAAGGCTCTCTCTGGCTTGCATCAAGGGTGACTGTAATAAGATCAGGTTTTAAAAAAGACAGGGATAGCGATCAAGTACGGAACAGCACAGGGTCAAAGGTAATTGGCTTACATGAACGTTTCACCAAATGGAACGTGTGGTGAGATCTAGGTTTTCAAACCATCCCACTGTTGCCAGAACTATAGAAACTTCAGGAAATGTAAAGCATTTAGGTTAATGACAACATACCAATTTAAACAAATCTATTTTATTTATTTGTCGGAGAGAAAAAGAGAGAGCACAAGCAGGGGGAGCAGCAGAGGGAGAGGGAGAAGCAGGCTCCCCGCGGAGCAGGGAGCCTGCTGCGGGGCTCGATCCCAGGACCCCGAGATCATAACCTGAGCCAAAGGCAGACGCTTAACCGACTGAGCCACCCAGGCGTACTGACAACATACCAATTTTGAAACACATCTTCAGTTCCCCAGAAGATTGCTAGTAGGGGGTCAGAGAGCCTACTAGTAGTCTTTATGCCAAGATGAGAAGCAGGGGCATCTCAAGGACACCTGGGTAGGCTGCGGTGGTAGGATCCCCACCCCTGGGGCCCCGCACAATGTCTGAGGCCACCACAACTTCCTGATGTCGCTGCTGTCACAGGATGATATCTTACACTGATGTTATGAAAACACATTAATCAATTTTTGTAATTTCTATTACGCCGTTATTTCCATCAAGCACATTACCCATGAGAGCCTACAAAACCAAACCGGTTTCAGCTCATACGGTGAACACTGGCATTTCTTGTGCTTATTTTTAAGTGGTAACTGCTGTCAATCCCAACCTCAGTTACCTGTTGTACTATTCTGGAGGCTGAAAATGTGCTGGTTAGTAACACAGTTATAAATATTCCCTTCTGACAAGCCACCAAATTATTTTCCAACGTAATGGCAAGGCAAAATGGAGCCCCTGAAATGTGTCAGATAAGGTGAAGCAGAAATCTATATTCCATTACTGGAAATGTGAAGGAACTATACCAGACGCTGTCTTAGAGCCTGCCCTCTAAGTGATGATTAACCCTCTTGAAGACTGCCCCCCCCCTTTAAAAATAACTGTTCCCATTTAAATAAGAAGGAAAGGGGCAAGTGTGTGCCATCGTCATGGAGAGGTAAGCTGCCACCAGTGTGAGTGCCACTGGAACCTGAAGCCTGAGGACAAGGAAAACAGCTCTGGTGAAACCCTAGGACGGCCCTCGGGCACCTCGCAAGCTGCCCTGTGTGCGCACCAGCCTCAGCTGCCGGTGGTCAAGTGGACACCAGGCGCCGGTGCCCTCACAAAATAAATGAGACTCGATTTCTCAAGGAACACATCTATTTTAAGAAACAACAGAGACTTTTGGTCTTTAGGTTAGAACTGTCCTCGAAGGACTGATGTGTGAGGAGTACCACAGAGGTCATGGTGAGAACAGGGCTCGGACCCTGCGCGTCACATCCAACCAGAAGCAAGCGAGGGGTGCACGCAGGTACGGCTGGGCAGTGATTTCTTTTTTACAGATATATTTTTTCACCAGAGAGAGAGAGAGAGAGAGTATGGGAAGGCGCAGAGGGAGAGAGAGAATCTCAAGCAGACTCTGCTGAGCGTTGAGCCCGAGGCGGGGCTCGATCTCATGACCCTGAGATCATGACTTGAGCCGAAACCCAGAGTCTGACGCTTAACAGACTGAGCTGCCCTGGCATCCCAGGGCAGTTGAGTTTTAAAGAGGAGTTGCAATCCCACTGGCTGCTCACAAGAAGCATGTTTTAAAAGTTCAGTAGAATGAGACAGAAAATATTAGTGCCTCACATGAACGTAGTGATTCAAGAAAATCGTTTCTGTTACATACATGAGAGAATGTGTACTAAGTTATGATCTAAATTTCTTTTCTTTGCATCATGATCAAAAGTTTAAAAGCCTCTCGAACTACATTAAGCGGAAACCATCCAGTACTACCAACTGCCTGGGGTTTTATCCTAGAAATTAATAAGTAGTGACTCCCAAGAAGATTATATTTAGAACTTCTCAAGACAAATGGAAAAGACGAGAGAGAGGAATCAGAACATAAGCTACAGAATAAGAATTTAGGAGTAAAGATATACAGCACGACTAGATTTCTGGCTATTACAAGCTAAGGTACACATCACAACTCTAACACCGAGCCAGAAAAAAACCCTCTGCTCTTCCCCTGAACCATTAAACGCAACGTCCCCGTCTGCCGCTTCCTTCCAAAGCACGTGGCCCGCACTCCCGCACGGGGACTCAGCCGATGGGGGAAACGGGTTCTATTTTTAGAGTGACTTGGGAAGTATGTGCTCTGAATGATCTAAATAATGAATGGCTTGAGAACCTTTTACAGAAGCTTTTAGACAAAATGTTATAAATATCCGAACTCAACAGTTTCGTGTCTGGAGAGTCACCTGCATGTCGATTTGCATTTCGTGGTAGGTGCTATCTCATTCCTCAAC